TATAGTTGTAAAAATTTGTAGATATTTTTATCATTATTGTAGGTGTTTTTATCATTATTATGGTACCAAAAAAAAATGATAAAAAATACTAATTACTATAATAGTGGTCCAAACACTCACAAATATGATAAATCACCCACCAAAATGGTATTTTTTTATACCAAAAAAATGAAAAAAAATAGTTACTACAACAGTAATAAAAATACCCACAAATATAATAAATTACTCATAAAAATGATTTTTTTTATACCAAAAAAATTATAAAAATAGTTACCACAATAGTGATAAAAATATCCACAAAATTAATAAATCATTCACAATAATAATAAATTTTTTGATTATAAAATAACCCATAAAATTATAAAAATACAATTGAAGCAATAAATTTTAAAGGGACGTACTGAAATTTTGTTTTATTGATGTCGCAGTGAAATATGCATAAATCTGGCCAATAAAGTGTCCCATATCAAAAAGATGACTTTGACGTTTCTCGATTGTCTCAAAAATTCCTTTGGAGTCATTCGATTGCCATTTGTCTCAAATTAAAAATCTAAATGAGATGGCAACACATTATTTAAAATTTTTATTTGATTTCAAATCGTATGGTGCTAAATAAATAAGTTCAAGTTAGTTTTCATGTTATCTGAGTTCTTAATTTGATTTCAAAATTTGATCAGTATAACATTACTGTATATTTTGATACATATCACTTTTCTTATCTCGAAAATCACTATCAAAATTAATTTTAAAATACACCAACAATATTAATTTTGTTTCAATTTCATATCAAACTCCCCAATGGTCTCACACAATGTCAAGCTTACATGACAAAGGGCTGAGCCAAAAAAATTTTATTGTTAGGGCAAATTAGCACTTAGTAATAACATAAAATAAAAATGCTAAAATTAATGAATTTGTCCACGACTTATTTAACAATTGATTTGTTTAGTTTGATTCCAGTTGAATATTTCAACATTGAGTTTTTTAAAAAATAACTTACAAGGACCATAAATATTAAAAATAATCATAGCTAATTTAATAGGAAAAATTGAATATTTCAAACAAGCCTATTAAAACAAACCTAGATAACAAAAATTTATTCTACAGCGAGCAAATTGTTTAAGTTGAATCAACCGAACTACTTTAATTCAAAATATAACCCATTACATTTAATTTCAAAATATAAGTACAATTTTAAATATAACAATTAATTAAAACAATCGAAAAAAAAAAGAAATTTTAAAGATCAATTGATATGTAGTCGATTTAGTTGTTAAAAATAAGCTTCTAGTGTAGAATTTTTTGGTCACAAGTTACACGTAGAATTCGACAAAAGTAATAAATATATCGAGTTTTAAAGACACCTAACATAATTAATTACATAGATTGATTTATAATTAATTAATACTCGACATAAATTTAACGGTAAATTACATCCACTTCCCTTGAGGTTTTTCCAAATAACAACAAGACTCCCTCAGGTATGGATAATAACACTGTCCTCCCCTTTGCTTTGGTTCTCTATAACAGATTCGACCACCATTAGTAGGCCGTTAGTAAAAAGTCAAGAATTTAATGATGTAAGCAATTAAAATTTCAAAAATACCAATATTATCCTTGTATAATCCAGTTCCAAATCTCACCTGTTATCATTCTAGTCTAAATTTTCTCTCTCTCTCAACGAAACGCAGTCAAACCAAACCACACGCCACCCCCACATTTGACCGGATCACCCACCAACCCATCCCCCCGTTGGAGCCCCAAAAACCCACTACCGCCGGAACCCCATACACATGTAGAACACCGCGGCCCCGCCTCTAATCCCTTCCTAGACCCCCCTTTGGAACCCACCTCATAGAACCCAGACCCATGAACCAGAAGCACCAATGCAAAGTTTGAAAATGTTTTGTTTGAAGAATTAGGGTCTTTTTGGGGTAGTATTTTTAGTGGTGGTCCTAATTTTAGGGTAGGATTTTGTAGTTTTGGGTGTATGGTGGTGCACCAATGGCTATGGTTTTGGAGCCATTGGTGGTGGTGGTGGTGGTAGTGGTGGTGGTAGGCCTTCTACATGTGTATACCTTCACCTTTTTCTCTCTGTGTGCATTGCAGTGGTGCGATGGTGGTTATAAGGATAGGTGAGACAGTAGCTTGGGTGCTGTGGTTTCTTTAGAGTGCTGCAGTGATGGTTGATTTGGGTGGTAGTGTGTTCTTGATTATGGGTTGTGGTGGTGGTGATAGTGGTAAGGGTTTGTGATGTGTGGGGATTGGTGATAGCGGTGGGTTGCGATATTTGGGGTTGATGGTGGAGGTGGGGTGGTGGGACGGTGTGGTGTGTGCAGAGCCATGTGGATGGCTCGTGGGAAGAAGATGGTCACAAAATAAAAAAAAATTTGTAACAAAATATTTTTCTAAAATTAATCCAAAATTAATTAGGAATTTTATTAAGAGGGTATTAAGGTCATTCAGAGTTGACATAGAGGGTATTGCAGTCATTTAAAGTTTCCGTTACGCAGAAAGGATGGAAGTCACTGACAGGAAGCGTAGAGTTATTATCCATGCCTTAGGGGGGTCTCGTTCTCGTTGTTATTTGGACAAACCTCAAGGGAAGTGGATGTAATTTGCCCTAAATTCAAACTACCATAACCGATGTAACATGACATGGCTCGAACACTATTTTGTTGGTCCCTCCTCTATCCTTCAGCGCAACATATATAAGGGTTTGTAGGAGAGTCCAAATCAAACACTCTATTCTACTAATCTTACTCTGCTTCTGAAATTCTGTATGAACAAAACAACCCCCACAAACAATACTCCTTCAATTTCCTTCTTCTCCTCACCGGCAACCAAAACTGACGCCCATTGCCACTCCTTACTGTACCTGCATTCTCCTTTTAACTCCCATCTTTTACTCACAAGAAGCTCTTACTTTACAAGGTACATTGTTTTCTTTACTGCTCATAATCTCTCTCTCTCTCTCTCTCTCTCACACACACACACTATATATATATATATATATATATATACATAATTTATATCCTGCCACAACATGTAACCGAAAGCTGAGGAAGATTGTGTACGGGTTTTTGTGTTGCTTTTACCCTTTTGATTTTTCACTATTTTTACTGCTGATTCTGAAAAAACAGTAAACCCAGAAAAAATTTCAACGATTTTAGAGATTGATTTTAAAATTTCGACTGAAAGAGTATTAAATAATGGTGGGGAGTAGGGTTTGTTTCCCCCTTTCAACTTTTTCTCTGGCTCAAATATATTCCACTTGGTTTTTTTACATGGGTGCGGATCCTCTGCTGTTCAAAAGAACAGCACGTTGTGCAGTTCCACAAGACCACAACATCTTATGAATACCAGCAAATAGCAATTGTAATCACCTGCCTATTGGTCAAAATTATAAGTTTTTCAAGTAAAAGCTTTGCATTTGAAAAACAGATTAAAGTTTATATTCAATTAAATTTTTTTGGAATTAATTAGATTACCAAAAAATAAATTTTTTGGTACAATATTTTAGCTTTTCTAATGAAAAAAATGTGACGCGTTCAAAATTTTCATATTATATGACACAATGCAGAACTATGACAAAATATCGTATCATATTTTAACTTTTCATCCAATAAAAATGTGGGATATGTACAATATTTATATTTTATTTTTACAACACATATTTGAATCCATTAAAAATAAAAAAAAATCGAACTGATCCGAGTAAATTTGCCAAACGAAAATTAAATTTATTATATTTCAAATTTGATTCTGAACATTAATCGATTATATTTTAGTTTACAATTTTGGATATTGGATATATCTAATTTTTATTAGGATTGTTATCCAACCTGAATTATATATATAAAATAAAATAATTATTTGATGAGATTGTGTCAAAATTATGATGTAATTTGCTAAAACTTTATTTCAAAGTTATTCAGATTAGATTGAATTTTTTATTTTAACAGATTAAAATTTGAATTTTTTATTTTAACGAATTCAAATATAATTTTTTTTATGTTAATGAATTCAAATGTGAATTGTAAAAAAAATATAAAATTTTTACATGTATCACATTTTTATCGGATAAAAACGTAAAGTATGATACCATATTTTGTCATTGTTCTGTATTTTGTGATAAAATAGGAAAATTTTGAATGCATCACATTTTTTCATTAGAGAATCTAAAATATTGTATCAAAAAAATATTTTTTTAGTACTCTAATTAATTCTAAAATTAATTCTAAAAATAAACTTTGAATATCATAATAGAATATAAACTTTTTTTTTTTTGGATCAAGAATATAAACTTTAATTATATGTTTTTCCAATGCAATGTTTTTATTTGAAAAACTTCCAATTTTGACCGGTGGGAAAAGGGATTACAATTGCTGGTGTCATAGCTCACAAAACGTTACCGTCTTGTGGAACAGCACAATGTGCTGTTCTTTTGGAACAACAGAGGATCCGCTCCCTTTTTTACATAGAGACCCAATTAAACACCCATATTAACTGCTGTAATTATTTTAACATCAAACACCTTTTTTTTTTTAACTCATGATTGTAATATTGAATATAGGTAATCATCCACAAAATAAGCGACGCGAACTCGATTTAGATAGTATCATGATTTGTAATCTTAATTAAAAGGGTAAACTTGATAATGACAGTTCTTAATTACTTTTGGTATGTTTTTAGATAGATAACTTCAATCCATTTTGGTATGCTAACTAATCAATTTTGGAAATCTTATAGTGTTGTGATGTTTTGATTTCCTGCAGTAGTTGATAACTTCCTTGGCGGCATTCTCTTTTTTTGGTGCTAAAAAAGACTCAGTAGAACCTTTTTGCTTCTGTTCAGTTATTGAAAATTAGTTTTCTCTTCGCAATCTTCTACATAGAGTCTTGGTTTTACTTTGCTTTGCTTTGTCTTGTGTTTAATATGCATCTTTGGGATAGTTGACACTTTTTTGGGCTTCAAGTTTCTAATAGGAAGCAAAAGCAATGGAATTTGGCAATGCGGTCGAGAAAGAGTTGCAGAAAGAGGGTGTTTGGGTGCCATCAACTCCCGTAAAACCTGTTGAGGTGAGGCCCGGGTTGGAGTCCGGCAACAGGGGATTTTTGGTTCAAAGTGGTTCACCAAGCAGATTGCAAGAGGCTGGGAATATTAATGCCACAATTGCCACAGATAAGAACAAAGGTTTATACAACTGGGAGGAGGCGGTGTTGGCTACGAGAAAAGCGGCTGCCAAATCAGATTTTATAGATTGGAATAAGAGAAATTATAATGTAGACGATGTATTAGTTGGGAACCAAAGAACAGATAATCGTAATGAAACATACACCTGTGTGGGTTATTGCAGCAGTTCTGGAGTTTTGGAGGGGGTGAAATGTGGAGAGAGTACTGCTGATGTGGTTGAGAAGAGTTGTTTCACCGTTTCAGGGAGTTTGAGCTGTGGTTTTGATGAGTGTGGTGCGAAACTGGCAGGTATGGACAATACTAGCTTCGTAGAGGTTTTGGTTTTGCCTGATAAAAGTTCTTTAGCCTCTGAAACATCTGAAATTTCAACATCAGAGGTTGTGGTTGATGGAATGTCAAGTCTTCCGTGTCCTGCTTCGGATTTTGAAACTGAGAGCAGCATCAACACACCCAGAACTTTGGGAAAGACAGGTACTTTATTTTCCATTGCAAACTCTCAAACTTACCAGTCCGAAGCAACCCAAGCATCTTAAATCCGCCCTCAGAGCTATGATGGTGTATATGTATAAGCCTGAACATATTTCCACAAAAAGATGAATGTATGTGTACATGCATTCTTGTTGATGAAAACTGGTAGATAATTCAAATAAAAAACATCATGCTTTAATCTAAGATTGATAATTTTGATCTGTTTCTAACTAATGACAAGTGCTATTAGTTATTGCGTACTTGCACCACACCATGCCACATTTGTTCTCACTGATTGACAACTGGTTGAGATGCTTGATAAAAATCTGGACTCGAATAATATCTCTGAATCAGTGACAAGTATAGCTATGTATTTTCAAATGGTACTGTTGTCAAGTTCTTGAGCAAAATAAAATAGATATGTCATCTTACATATTCCAAATGTTTGTGTAGATGAGATTGTGCATCAACAAAGAGAGAAGAATGAAGCACCTTGCTCAGGGAATGAAAGCAACAAGCTCCATGTTAATGAAAACTCACAGGACAACATTGAATCATCTTCTTTCACAGTATTAACTCCATCAGAGAAGCAAAATGCAAGAAAGAGACAGAACAGTGGCATAGACTTGAACAAGAAGCCACGACAAAGACCCAGCGTGAGAAAACATAGACCAAAAGTAGTAGTCGAAGGCCAACCCATAAAAAATCCAAAATCTTGTCCATCAAAGCTTTCGACTTTAAAGCCTCAGACTGTCAAGCCTTCATCTCGAAAACCTCAAACTCCAAAACCTCTAACTCCAAAACCACGAACTCCGAAGCCTTCTACTCCGAAACTTCAGACTCCAAAGCCTTCAACTCTAATGCATGCTATTTCCAAGAGAAGTCCACATAAGAAGAAATACATGAGGAAGAATAGCCACGAAGTCTTGGCCAATACTTCAGAAGATGCTGATGAGCAAGCATTTGATATGAATCCTCAATATTCTACAATATCATGCAGGCGAGCTTTGAATTTTAACTTGGAAAACCAGGTGAGAGATGATGATGATGTTAGGGAAATTGTAAATTTAAACATAAGTCCAAATGAGAAACAAAATTGCATATCAAAAAATTGCCTTAAAGCCTCAGCAAAGCCCTCTGAAGATGTTAGTCAAATAGTTGATCAAAATCCTGAAGACAGAGAAAAACCATGCTTGCAGGCTCAGAGTTGTAATTTGGAAAAATCATGCATTGATGGGAAAGTAGTTGTTCAAAATCCTGTACATGCTGAAAAGTTATATTGGCAAACTCTGAATGTCAACTTGGAAAAGCATGGTCGTGATGAAAAAGATGCCAGAAAAATTGTTCATCAATATCAACGTAGAAGTAAGAGTGTAGACAAATCCTTGTGCAACTTAGACTTCAACCAAAATTTGGAATCTCAGGAGGTTGGCAATGATATCAACAATGTGAAGTCCAAGAAGGGCAACAAGCAGATGGCTGGAAACCTGGCAGGCATAGCATATGGTAATACCCATGCTGAGAGTTGCTCACAGACAGACAAGTCACTGGCAGAAAGAGTGGGTGCAACTCACCAGAAGGATCTCTGTGCTACTAGCACTACTCAAACTGGTTGCAAGTACAATTCCTTGCATGTGTATCAAAGAAGATCCCAGCGAGATCAATGTCTAAAATATAGCAGGAAACTTGGACCAAATTTTCCAAGAAAATACAAGAAAATAAGGACGAGGCGGCGAAAGGCAACCATACCAAATGCTTTCTGGTCTATTATAGCTGCAGATGATGGTCAGAGAGAGGTGAAAGCACAAAAGAGGAAAAAAGTGACTGTCAGCCTTAGTACATCAAGAATCAGCAAGAGAATCAGTAAGAAAGGATTGTCTCAGCAATTGACCCAAACAACGGCAGCAGTTGAAGATCCAGAATCTTTTAAGGGTTTGCTCCTGGGCTTGTCCCCCCTGGTAAAAGTTAAAAGGAAGAGATCCAAGGGGCTTCGTCAAAGACGCAACTTCGTTTCCCCAGTGGCAAATTCAGCCACAGAAGAACAAACCAAGGCAGCAATTGATGAAGCAGAATTGCTCAAGTGTGCTCTGACCTTGCACCAGTTGAAACATTTAGAAGGAAGACATCCAAGAGATTTACTGGAAGGCACAACATAGGTTCAGCAATTGCAAGTTGTAACTTAGCTTCCATGGAAGTTCTGGTTGCAGAAAACAAGATACAAGATAAAATGCATCCCATTGGTGATAATTCAGTATTTTACCATAATGAAAGTTGCCCCCAAAAATGTGAGGATATGGTGCTTGAGGTAGAAGATGGCCCCCCAAATGTTGAAGCCTGTCTGCCACAATGCATGGCTGTGCAGCTCAATGCAGAGAGTAAATAAAGTTTTTTGCTCCTATATATTAATTCTGATAGTCGCTATCATGGAGGCACTAATAGCTTCTTCTAATGTCAAATTGATGCAGGGCCACATGACGCATTTGTAACAGCATTGCTCGACTATTCCATCAAGAAACTAGAGTGTCTACACATCAGTGACGATTATGGCGTCCCTGTGCAAAATACCCATGGCGCACTAATTCCTTACAAGGGGCAATTTGATCCATCCAAGAAGCATAAATCACCACCCAAGGTTGATCTTGATTCTGAGACTATGCGAGTGTGGAAAATGCTGATGGAGAATGATGAAAGTGAAATTATTGAAGAAGCGAACGAAGATAAGGAAAAATGGTGGGAAGAACAGAGAGAAATATTCAGTGGACGGGTGGACTCATTTATTGCCCGTATGCATCTTATCCAAGGTATAACTCTATTGCAATTTGCATTTGAAGTTACAACTCCTCTTATTCACCATGAGACAATCTTTGAAAATGGAACACCATCAACACATTTTACCATGACTACATTGGTTCTAGTTGCCTATTGAACAATCATATACTCCAAAAGTTAAAATTGTTAGAGAGGGTGTTAACTTTAATATTTATACCTCAACACGGCCCCTTCCGTGCAAGCTAGAGTTTGAGTATAACACGTGAAAATATTTTAATCATTGGGGTGGCGGCGAAATTCAAACATTAGAGAGGGATCCCTTTTAGTATCTATACTTCCATTGTCATATTAAGCATGGTATCATTTACCATGATGTATAGCATACAAAATTATATGATAAAAAAATGCGTAACATTTCAGTGTTTGTTGAATATCCAGTCACACCATTCAACAAAGACATAAACACTACTGTTATTATTTCCTGCTGTCAGTGTATATTTAAACATCATAGTCTTTTCCCTAATTGTAGTCATTATTCCATCAGCTTATCAGATTTGTTGAACCATAACTTTAATACTAGACTTCTTCTTATCCTTAAATTGGTAAAGCACACTTCTCATTGTACATATTATAGTTGCATGCAAGTTACTAATTGCAGAGGGACAAACTTCACAGGAAATAGACGTTTCTCACCTTGGAAAGGTTCGGTGGTAGACTCTGTGGTTGGGGTTTTTCTAACTCAGAACGTGTCTGACCATCTTTCAAGGTAAACTGGGTCTTCTAAGTAAATATATAGCATCTCTTTTTCTCCACAGAATGTAAACTGAGAATGCTTTCAATGATTTTCACAGTTCTGTCTTCATGTCCCTTGCGGCGCGATTTCCCCTTCATCCTACAAGCAACAATGGAGAATGTGCCACTGAGGAAGAAATCTTACATAGCCAAGAATCAGTTGGAAGTAATATAGTGACAGATGAGTCAACATATTATGAAAATGGCAAGCACCCATTTGCCTGTGACAGTGTAAAAGATATGAGTCATGATTTTGTTCAGAACAGAGAAGAGACTTCCACTGGGGTAGGAATGCCAATCTCAGATATAACTGACCTTGAAGGTACACATCCATCCCTCATTTTGTCTAGTTGCCATGAGTTCTGTCCTAAAATTGCATATGCCCCTTCTAATCTAGATTTGGATTCTTTAGACTTGGTGGGAGAGTTCGGATTTAATCAAAAAAAGGAAGGAGGGGAGATAAGCAAACATCATGGACATACAGAGCTCCCTGGAAGTGAAACTATAATTCAGCAAAAGACCACACCAATAGCTCAAGAACCAACAACAGTTGACCCATATGCAACATTAAGCAAGTTCCAATTGTCCACCAATTGCAGCTTACATACAGAAGTCATGACTAGAAAAACCCCACTTTCGAGCAACAATCACCCTACCCAAAATAAAATGATATCCAAAACTGAAATTACCTCCAAAAAAAAGAAAAGCAAGTTTGAGGAAAAGCAAGAAAATACAATTAACTGGGATAATTTAAGGAAAATTTATTCCAAGGATAGAACTAGAAAACCTATGGATAAAAACAACGATTCCATAGATTGGGAGAGAGTTAGGGGTGCATCAGTTGAAGTGGTTTCCAAGACTATAATGGAAAGAGGAATGAACAACATACTTGCAGCAAGAATAAAGGTACACACGAAAACAACAATTTTGAGAGATAGTCAAAAGTAGTAAAATCAATTTCTAACTACTAGGCACCTTTGAAATTTTGCAGGAGTTCCTTGATCGAATGGTCAAAGATCATGGAAAAATTGATCTTGAGTGGCTGCGAGATGTTCCACCAGACAAAGCAAAGTAAGACAACATGAATAGTTTGACCAGCAGTTGCAAGTGTTGATCACCAACTAAAGAAAATTTGGTTTCTGATCTTTTATGCTTGTAGGGAGTACTTGTTAAGCATACGAGGACTGGGGTTGAAGAGTGTCGAGTGTATACGTCTTCTGACACTTCATCATCATGCCTTCCCAGTAAGTTAAGATTGGAAGTATCTATAATTCATTATCTTAACTTTATAGAGTTTAATTATTTTCTCAACAATCCATTTTTGTTGCTTCCATAAGGTCGACACAAATGTCGGTCGGGTAGCAGTGCGTCTAGGTTGGGTTCCCCTGCAACCACTTCCTGATGCAGTTGCAATACATCTGCTAGACCAGTAAGTATCATATGTCCACTGATCAAAAACACCTAGGTTTCCAATCAAAAAAAAAAAAAGATTTCCTGATGTTGTTGCCCTTCAGGTACCCATTGGTGGATACCATTCAGAAATACCTGTGGCCACGCCTCTGCACCCTTGATCAACGAACATTGTAATTTCTTGTTCCCCTCAACTTAAGTGAGCATAGTTATTGCTATGGAATTGATTGCAATGCTTTTACTAATTTACTACATATGTCCCGTAACAGGTATGAACTACATTATCAGATGATTACATTTGGAAAGGTATGCTATCACATTTCTTGGGGATATTAACTATATCATATATTTCTCATTTGACTTATCTCTAAAAGACACGAATGGTGATGAATTGTGCTCCAAAAACATATAGGTATTCTGTACAAAGAGGCGACCAAACTGTAATGCATGCCCAATGAGGGGAGACTGCAGGCATTTTGCTAGTGCATTTGCAAGGTTGGTATAACATTTTCTGTCCAATTATAATTTTTAAGCCTAATGAATGGCCATAATTAGAATAGTAAGCTAGAAGTCCTTTAAAATGGGCCCTTGGTTAGGGAGTTGTCTTCCAAATGATCTCTCATTATTCTGGTCAGGCGTTCAGTGATACAAATATCTAAAATAATATGGTCAGACTTTGATCAAGGTTGTGTAACATCTTAACTTTTCGAATAGAAAATCATTGGACACAAATTCTCACTTAAATTGCTTTACTTTTTTCTTCAAGATTGACAGAAAAGGAATAATAATCTAGTATGAGGATTCAATCATGTCTCTTCTAAGAATAAAGTCATTTTGATTTGTCACAATGATATGGTCACTATAAGTTCTTTGTTATATAGGTTTAGGATAAATTGCAACCACAATATTGTATATTGTCATATATAGTGGGACAACCCTTTATTTTCTGAAATGACAGTTTCATCTCTTCTAGCTAATCCATCACATTCATATTGTACCCCTGTCGTGACTGACCAGTATTTTCTTATTTAAATGTACAACGATGTATCTAGCCTCTTCCCAGAGTGAAAGGAGATGGGAGCCATTAAGCAGCATACGTAGATTAAATTCAGGTCATTGGCCAATCAACTGTGCCTTGTTTCAACTTCAAACATATTAATGCGAATGACACTCGAATTTATAACTTCTTAGGTCCAATCTAAGTGGTTATCATGAAAGGTGCTCATATCATTTGTTTCCTAAAACATCACTTTTACCCTCAGGTCAACGGATGGAATACTCCCTATTCTTAGATCCAACATCCCTCATCGGAAAAGAAGGGGAAAAAAAAACATCCCTCATTGGTAACTCTTTTTTCATTTTCTTCTTTGTCTCTCTCACAGACTCTATGATGGACCAAAACACACACCCATGGATGAACTGAAACTACCACCGTTCGCACCACTATTAGTCTCCACTCACGACTACCCATGTTATCAATTCCCTAATTAGCAATGCCAACTTCTCTCTCTCTCTCCCTCTCAAACACACAAGCACATTGCCTCAGACCAAGCAATGGGATTCAACTGCATTAAATTCAATTCACACACATATATACACCAATATTTAAGAGTAAAAGTTGAGTAAACCTCTATCAATTTGGTTGAAGCCGCTGTGTGTGATTTGGGTTTATCAGAGTTTAGGTTTGATCAGCTTGCTGATTAGATCATGCATAAGTGTTTGTTTTTTTTGTGGTTTATGTCGTGTGTTGAGAGATGATGATGGCAATGTGGGCTAATGGATCTTGTTTTTACCAAGAGAAAGGGAAAGAGTGTAGGGGAGGGGGGGTTTACTTTGGTTACTTGTGTAAATTTTTGTTTTTGTGCATGGATGGGCTTGTGGAGGTGGTACCAACAGGACGTGTGTGTATTTGTATATATAAATTGACACACACACATATACACATATAAGTAGTAAAGGATAAATATATAGACACAGACTGGCTGACAGGGAATGTCAATATTATTTAAGAAAATGAAATGTGTGTCCCCCTATTTATTGTCAAAAACAAAGGGTGTGGCTGTGGTTTACCCTACATTTTAGCATGACTATCAAAGGCATATTGTTGTTCTAACCCATTTCTACTGCATTTTGCGTATACATTAGCAATCTGGATTTGCCAACTACCAAAAAATGCAGCAGTTCATCTTCAAAAATAAATTTCCACAACATGTTTTCAAGAATTAGATTACTAATTCAAACTTGCCAAATGCAGTGCTAGACACGCCCTGCCAATGCCACAGGACAAAAGTATAGTGGCTTCAAAGTTACCTGTTGCAGCAGTCCGAAACCCTGCCATGCTTATTACACCAACACCATTGCCCCTTCTTGGGGCTAACTTTTTAGAATCAAGATGCAGATCTCAGAATTGTGAACCTATTGTTGAAGTTCCAGCATCTCCAGAGCCACAACATACAGAAGTTGTAGAAAGGGACATTGAAGATTTTTACTATGAATCTGAGGAAGAAATCTGTACAATTAGACTTAATACTGAAGAGTCCAAAGGACCTTCACTGGATTATATGGACAAGATACTTCAAGAGGGTGACATGTCAAAAACGCTAGTTGTTTTGACTACAGAAGCTGCTTCATTTCCTCTGCCCAAACTGAAGTATGTGAGCCGGTTAAGGACAGTGCACCAAGTGTACGTATGCATTTTTCTATCTTCATATGACCTGAAGAATTATTCAAACCTCATGCCTACTAGTTAACTTGGACAATTTGATAGCATATGTTTCAAAGAAGGTTTGCAATCTATTAAGCTACCCCACTCTGGTGACTTTAACTAGATTCAATAATGAAAACATGAACTATTTTGTTAAGCTGCACTGAGGCAATGACTAAAAAAAACCTCTTCAAGTTTAGGAACTTTTGCCCATGTTTGACATGGGACACTTTTTAAAAAATAGTCAGCAGAGAAGTTTTTTTTAGTATAGCAATATCTAAATTATATTTGTAAAGTTTTATATTACAATGGACATTTTTAGATTTTGTGTCAATGCATACTCAATAACTGAGGTGGTGGAATGGACCCACATGATGCATTCTAATTGCTTCTTTATTGCAGATATGAACTTCCAGATAGACACCCTCTTGTGGCAAGGGTAAGTTTCCTCACCCTCTGCTACATTTATGTTTCTTCTTACATCTATCATTCTTATCACTCTTTGTGCATAATACAGCTTGACAAACGGGATCCTGACGATCCATGCCCTTATCTTCTTGCAATATGGACAACAGGTACAAACTGTACACTTAAAGCATGGTATGAATGCAAGAAATCCAATAGCTATAGCCAATGTGAAAAATGTTGCATACATGCTGGAGAAAGCACCAAATTCTTAAAAATTTACATTGTCATTACAGCTCAATTTTGAAGTTGAACACGGATGTCCTTTACTTTATTGTAGAATAAACTTTCAAATAAACAAAAGATTGGTATCCTTCTATATGTTTGTTAATATTCAAATCTATTATGGATTTCTTCCAACAGCTGAAACTGCGAAGCAATCTGAACAACATAGAAAACAATGCAACCCCCAGGAATCAGGAGTATGGGATGAAAAGACAATCTTCTCATGCAATAATATTCAAGAACAAGTTTTCCAAACAGTCAGTGGAACAATATTGGTGAGAAATAATACAACAAATACTTCTGCTGATTGTTTTACATGCAATTTTATTTTCCACAATATAATGGAAAATTGACACAAACATGATAATGTATGAAATAGATACCTTGTCGAACAGCAAACAGAGGCAGCTTTCCACTCAATGGAACATACTTTCAGGTTAATGAGGTAAGTTTATCCCAGTTTTATCACTTTGATGCTTTCTAAATATATCCATGTCAATGTTATTGTAGAATTATTAGCTTTTCTTATTAGGCAGTTGTACAAAAAACCTTGTATACAGGTATTTGCCGATGATGAATCTAGTCAACACCCAATCGAAGTCCCCAGAGCATGGATATGGAACTTACCAAGGCGAACTTTATATTGTGGAACCTCTGCAACAACAATATTTAGAGGTAAAAGAGTCATTTTTCATGTGATTTGGACAAAGCTTCAACTACTATGTAAAGTTCCACATTGGCTTACAAAATGCTCGTTCTACAAACCAGGCTTATCTACAGAGGAAATTCACTACTGCTTTTGGAGAGGTATGAAATTACAACTTTCTGTATTTGGTGCCAAATGACTCACCCAATTAAGAAGAAACAGAAATATGAATCTAGTTGCATTCAGACGACAAACAACTATATCTACTGTTACTGATACACACATAGACACACACAAGGAATAAAAAAGGTTTAAGTGAACATTCAGATGCCAAGGTAAAACTGTTATATGTAGACATCCTAATTAAATAAGCATTCAGAGATCTCGTTGCATGAAGCAAAAATAGATGAAAGAGATCCGGGATAGACATGATATACAAAGGTAACTGACATTTCGAAAATTTTCAAAAACATTGAAGACCGTGCCTCAAAGTGTGAGGTCTCCGAGATGCAAATGTTATGCCATTCCAAAGCATGCATTCTATAGCCAAAGCATGCATTTCATGTTCAATCCATGTATTAGGTCTACTTCATGACTTGTACACATTTGCTGACATATAAAGACA